ATGTACGCACCATTCAGCTGGCAAATACAGGCTAGTCTGAGAACAACTTCAAGCGTAATTAAGCCATTTCCGTGCTGTACCACTCACGGCACGACCCTGTATAAGTTGGTAATACACTAAAAAAGGATTTGATGGAGTGTGGAAGAGAGTTGATTAGCAAGTGCAAGGGAGTTGAGTCGGAAGAGGAGAGTCATCTTACAAAGTCGACCCCAATAATCCGGTGGTGGTGAAACCCTAGATGGTCGTCTCCACCACCACCACTAACCCCCCACCATCGCCCTCAACCTCACCCCTCACCCGGCACCACCACAACTACCACACGAGTCTAACCACACCACTCGCACGCCACCACGTCCTCGTCACCACCACCTCTCCACCTACACGGCCACGTTACAAAGAACTTTGTCAGTGTCAGAGTAGTTAGAATGCATTAAGCAGTGACGTGATGGAGGCTGACTCCATACACAGTTTCAAATGTAAATATGATAGAGCCCAGTAGGCTCAGGAACCTGTACACCAGTTGATTAACAGTTGAGAGGCGGGACCAAACAGCCAGAACTCAACCCCTGCACACACAACTAGGTGAGCACCACAACACCACCAAACACAAATCCCTTCACCATTACCATCAGCAGGAAAAATATATAAATTGTGACACTAAATCACCACAAGCTCGCCACATATGTAAGTTGCTTGGCTTGTAGTTGGTCTCGAACCCATTAATGATGTGAGATGTGAGGGAGAGGGAGAGACGTAAGGGCACTCAATTTGGGGGAGTGGAATGGGGCGGGGGGAATGGAAGTTGGGGGAAAGGGGGCCGGACGTTAGGAGGGGAGGGGGGGAGGAAAGGCCGGAAGCTGAGGGAGGGAAACGGAAGTGGAAAGGGTGGGGGGGGGGTGACATAGAGGGAAAGGGTATAGGAAACTCCACCATCAGGCCATCCTTGCCTTGATCCGCGAGTCACCCGCTTCTTTCGTACCTGCGGTCTGCGGCATCTTCCCCCCCCCCCCCACCCCCTTCCTACAGACCCCTTGCGTCACGCAACCGCTCACGCACTCAGCCCCCCCCCCCCAACCTCCTTCACATATCAGCATCATGCTACAGATACCGATATTCCTTAAAGAGTGGTACTGGGGCCGACCCCCGACTAGTCTATGACACTTCCATACCCTCCCTTGTGTCATCTTCAAAAGTTGGGTGAGGCTAGTCCCAAATGTCTGGCCTCCAGCCTTGGACGGATGTTGTTGTTGTTTCAGATTTAGCTACTCAGGGCGAAGTGTCCATGTAGCACGGGCTATGGTGAGCCCGTAATGTCGGACGGATGAACTGGTCATTCTTTTACAGCTACGCAGACAGGAAGACAAAATGCGACTGACTTGCCACAGTGTTTCCTGTCGAGTGCAATTGGGATAACATGGTGAGCACCAATTGCAAGATCACGGCAGTTTCCAACTACAGGAATCTCTGCAACAATCAACTAAGACTCATCACTAATGCCACTTGAGTTGACTTACACAGCCCCGTGATGGGGAGGGGGGGGGGGTGATGGAGGGGAGGGGGTGATGGTACTCGGTACTCCCGTCGCGTCGTTACCATCACCGCCTAAAATAGTTACCACCATAATTAACTAACATCCATTTTTACTTCCATTCTCATTCATTCATTCTCTCTACTTCTCATTCATTCATTCTCTCTACTTCTCATTCATTCATTCTCATTCTCTCTCTCTCTCTCTCGTAAATTTTCAAGGCGCGCTGATACGGCTGGAGCAATATGACGTCAGGGGGAAGGAAATATTCACAGTGAGACGTCACACAGAATGACAACTGATGTACCACAATCACCACCCCAGGTGCACCAGTCCCACCCACCCATCCTTCCACATTAATGCCCTAGCCCCCACCCACCCCTGTGTTATGTTCTAGCCCCCCCCCCCATGCTCCGTTACGGGCTATTCATGCCCGTGCCACCTCTTGGCTGGTTTAATCTTTATCAATCACCCTGCTCCGACCTGCCCTAACCCCTTCCACCAGTTGAATGGCGACTCGTCCAGGCTGTATATATGTAACATCTGTTCCCCCTAGAGCAAAGACTGGCCATATTTTATGTAGACATTATTTATGCAGGTATAGGACGTTATACAGTATTCCAAGCGCCTTCTCGTGTATTGTGGATGGCGCATGCGCGACTCATAGTGCTACTGAGAACAGCTGTCATATTACTCACGAAATGCGTCAGACAGGCAGGCAGGCAGGCAGACAAGCAGGCAGGCAGGCAGGCAGACAAGCAGGCAGGCAGACAAGCAGGCAGGCAGGCAGACAGGCAGGCAGACAAGCAGGCAGGCAGGCAGGCAGGCAGGCAGGCAGACAGACAGGCAGACAGACAGGCAGACACAGACAGGCAGACACAGACAGGCAGACACAGACAGGCAGACACAGACAGGCAGACACAGACAGGCAGACACAGGCAGACAGACACAGGCAGACAGACACAGGCAGACAGACAGGCAGGCAGATAGACAGACAGGCAGGCAGATAGACAGACAGGCAGGCAGATAGACAGACAGGCAGGAATACCCATACTACGGAGAGCGAGATACTTGCCAGTGGAAACAAAAGGGGTCTGAAAGCTGCGAGCAAGAACGATGATTCGCCTATCAAATCAGACGCCTGAATGGTAATTACGCACTAACAAAGCATGAAAGCCGTTAACAAGATTCAAAAGTTTAACAGGATTCGAACTTACAAAATGACAAGGTTCCAGCCCAAACCCGCTAATACGAAATCGACCCCCATCATAAAAAAAAGTATGATCCTGCACGTAAACATTAACATGAGAGTTTGACGACGCAATTACCCCCCCCCCTCTCCCCCATGGGTCTATAGCCCCCCTGGTCAAGGTACAGGGAGGAAGGGGGGCTTGGCACTGTTCCAGTGTGACGTCACTAGGCACCACTGGTGTCGTCATGGCATCTCTCATCCATACTGAAGACCTCCACTACACCACCCAGGTGTGTGTGAGGTGACCTACACCCTTTCCTCGTCTGCCTCACTACAATTATTGTCTTTCCCTTCTCTCCTACTCCTCTGTCCTGGACGTTTCGGTAACGTTTCGGTCCGTCCTCTATCCAGGACGGACCGAAACGTCGTCGTCTCTTCCCTTTCTAGTGTGTGGTTTGGTCAACATTTTCAGCCATGTTATTGTGACTCCTCATCTCCTCTATCCTCTTCCAAGTTGCCCTTTTCAGGGATGGGAAGCCTTTTAAGGTTTATCTAGACTCCCTCCCCCCTCCAACCTCCCTACACCAACCAGTGATCTTGCCAACGATATGAACCACATTCGTCTAACTCCTTAATATCCATTTACTAAGTAAACACAGGCATTTTTCTGAAATGAAGCGTGTGCAAGTGTCTCGTACTGCTGTGGGAGTCGAACCCGGGATCTTCCCGTTGTGAATCGACTACGATGACCGCTGCACCACAGCATTTGCCCTTAAGCAGCAGCTTACGTCATACCTTACCAATACGCTCTTAGTAGCCAATAACGTAAGCCATAAAGTAAGCCATAACGTTCCTGTTCTTAAAGAAACCCAGACACACATCAACATGTTACACGACCAAAGATCACATTCACTCCAAAAAAAATCTACCACCTACGGGTTATTCATGCCCGTGCCACCCTCTTGTGGTGGCCTAATCTTTAATAACAACAACGTTCCTGTTTACATTGCAGTTCTTCCCCCGTCTGTACACCCTTCATCCCTGAAGCTCCTCGATCCCCTGCATCATGTCTCAATGTCCACAGGCCCGGTCCCTTTTTTTCCCCGCCATATTTGCCCGTCAATCTCAGCAAGAGCTGGGGAATAATATAAATTGCCAGCAGTGCCTACACTGCCCCGACGGGAGACATCTCCCGTCACGCAGGGTGCAGTCGCACCTCCACAGATCTCCAGTATCATCTATTGATACTGGAAATGGCTCAAAAGGGCCACCACTTATGGGCTATTCATGCCCAAGCCACCTTTTGGGTGGCTTAATCTTCTCTCTCTCTCTCTCTCTCTCTACACTGCCCCTTAGGTGTGGCAAGCGTCCGACAAGACCACAAGCACCACCACCCGAGTGCATGGTGTGCTCCATGCCCGGGCGAGAGGTAACAGCAGCAGTTGGGCAAGGACAGAGACCTGGCAGGGAGGAGTAAAACCATGCAAGAGCAGCAGCAGCAGCCCTATAATCACAGCCATGGAAGCGTCACTTGACTGGCTGACTTGTCTATCCACGCGCGCGACAAACTACTGCATGCTCACACACACACACACACACACACACACACACACACACACACACACACACACACACACACACACACACACACACACACACACACACAGGTGGGTACTAGGTGAGTACACACAGGTGGGTACTAGGTGAGTACACACAAAATCATCTTTACTGGGAGTGTGTACTCACATAGTTGTGTGCATGCGGGGGTTGAGCTTTGGCTCTTGTGTGTGTGTGTGTGTGTGTGTGTGTGTGTGTGTGTGTGTGTGTGTGTGTGTGTGTGTGTGTGTGTGTGTGTGTGTGTGTGTGTGTGTGTGTGTGTGTGTGTTTTACACCTGCACCATTTATACACTATCGCCATGCAAGGCTTCTTAAAATAAACACTGGTATTACCATAAATACTGCGCAATAGACCCCGGAACACTTATCTATTTAAAGCTTTGACTCTTATTAATGCGCGCCCAAAAAAAATTGTTTTTACCAAACAAGAACTGGTTCTCATGTCAGTAAACAAATGGCAACCCCCGACAAGTTCTAATTCACTGTGTACTGTATATGTATGTATAATTACACATATTACTATTGTATCAACCCGAGAAAAGTCTTAAAAAGACTTTTCCCCCAAAGCTCTCTCGTATATTTCCAGACATTCCAATATGCCGTATGGAGAAGAGTTGGGGAAAATGGCCGCGTCATGCTTAGGCTAAAAAAAAAAAGCTTTACCTGCTCGGAAGCTTTCCTGAGCTGCTTCTCCCGCTCATATTGCGTCACCAGCTGCTCGTTGTCCTCTCGCAGCAGTTCCACCTCAACCTGCATAGGGACGAACAATTATAATTGAATTATCATACACAAGAATGTACAATGGGTTATGAAAGTACGTATGTTGGTGATTAAGTGATACACGATTGCAAACATGCATAGCATTTTCTGGCGCAAAGTTAACTTGTTACTCCGACACAATTCTCAGCATTGTATACGCTCTCAAAATCTTTACACAGGGTAGGCTTATTACACAGCCTAGGCCTATCTATATTATACAGTCAGCAAACATGTTATCGACATTCGTCCACAGATTGTACACAAGGTGACCAAAAAACGATAAGATAAACTAATGAATAAATCCACAAGGGCCTTGATGAGGGTTCGAACCTACACATGGGATGTTCCCAGATGCGCCTTGGTCAACTGTACCATGACATGGTTAAAAGAATTGCAACCTGGAGTGCTATTGCCCTCATAAGGATCCCGAAGCTTTTCCAAAGCCTAACCGGGGTTTCACACAATGTGAGGGCAGTAGCACTCCAAGTTGCAATTCTTTTGACTATGTCATGGTACCTGGTTGATACCTGGTTGATGGGGTTCTGGGAGTTCTTCTACTCCCCAAGCCTGGCCCGAGGCCAGACTTGACTTGTGCGAGTTTGGTCCACCAGGCTGTTGCTTGGAGCGACCCTCAGGCCCACATACCCATCACAGCCCGGTTGGTCCGGCATTCCTTGAAGAAATACAGTTGATTATGGTGTATCTGGGAACATCCCGTGCATAGGTTCGAACCCTCATCACGGCCCTTGTGGATGTGTTCATTTGATATATATCACGTTATTGTGATTTCTGTGTGTATAAGATAAACTTACTGGAGTACTGATGACAGACTCAAATAAGAGAAGAATGGCCAGACTGTATATTCCTCGACTGTCACAATAAATTTGATACTGTCTCATACAAGTGACTCCGATGCACAAAGAAATCATATTAACGTTATGTATCAATGAAAAAATCTGTAGGAGCCATAAGGAGGATTTAAACCTATGCACTGGGTACTCCCAGGCAATGCTCATGACCACTATACCACGACATGGTCAAAAGCATTGCAATATTGCCGAAACAACAGTAGACATCTTCAAGAGGAAACTAGATTGTTTCCTCCAAGAAGTGCCGGGCCAAATGGGCTGTGATGGGTATGTGGGCCGCTCCAAGCAACAGCCCAGTGGACCAAACTCTCACAAATCAAGCCTGGCCTTGGGCTGGGCTTGGGGAGTAGAAGAACTCCCAGAACCCCATCAAGCAGGTAAATCAAACTCCTTGTAGGTGATGTGAAACCTACCTCCTATGGTTCTCTTCAAATGCACAAGTGCAAATCTATTTTTCTAAATGACTTCTACTTTAAGTTAGAGAAGCATGTTGGTATACTGGGAAGAGTCTTAAGGTGGGTGAGTGTGTTCAGTACCTTTTAGGAAACAGAGTTACAGTGAGAACAAAGATATCAGAGTGGAAAGAAGTTATGAGTAAAAATCACAAGGGTTGGTGCTAAGACCCACCTTGTTTTGAATACTGTCATTGACTTGACAAGAAACTGGCTCCTCTATAAGAATAAATGAAACAGCACAAGGCCTATAGGCTCATACATGACTGCTCTTATTTATATTCACCCGACCTCATTCATAAATATGTAACACTTTAAATAATCCAGATGATTTAAAACTAATTAGAAGTCAGGGCAGAGAAAGACTAATACCCTGCAAATTAATCTGGAAATACTCCAGAAATAGTTTGAACATAGCTTTTAGAATTTAACCCAGCCAAATGTAAAGTTATGAAGAATGGGACAGGAAGGAGAAGACTTGTACAGCAATATAGGATGAAGAGAAAACAGACTCTTACATGAAACAAGGATAAAGAGCTGAGAAACAGAGAAACAGACATACCCTTAAATCTAAAACCAGAAGCATAAAGTCAGCAGTATATGGCATGCTGGCCACCATCTGCGTATCCTTCAGACACTTGGGATAAAAAAAAAGAGAACATTTTGAGCCCTATACATATCCTATTCAAGACCCACTCTCGTATATGCAGCCCAGTATGAAACTCTCACCTGCAAAAGGTCAAGTCAAAACTATAAAAGATCCAAAGATATGCAACAAGGGTTATTCCTGAGATGAAGGGCTTGAGTTACATGGAAACACAGACATAACTGGACCTCACTACATTGAAGGACAATAGAGATGGGGCAAATAGTACTGTACAAGATTCTAAGTGGAAGTAACAAAGTAGACAAATCAGCATTGTTCAGAGCTAGAAACAGCAGAACGTGAGACCACAGATGGAAGCTGGAGATAAAAACTAAGTCAGAGATGTCAGAAAGAATTTTGAAATGCCAGAACCGTCAAAGAGTGCAATATGCTAGACAAAGAAGTTCTTGAAACCTAAACACACCCACCACACACACACACACACACACACACACACACACACACACACACACACACACACACACACACACAAAAGAATGATTTGCTAGCCAGACAGGACATTATATACATATTGAATAAGTAATACAATATACCTGTATGTGGGAAGTCTATTTCAAAGCTCCCTTTGCAATGATTGATCACCATGTATTCTTGTGGAAATCTTAAATACACGAAAAGACAAACAACAATGCCTCTAATTGAGCCAGTAACCCACGGTATATTCTTTGCAATGTCTTTCAAACCCTACCTTCAGCAATTATGATGAAGCTAATTAGCCAGGATGCTGTGACATCAAATATTATGCCATAAGTAAGCCCTTTCATACTTCTGATTAGTTTGTCAAATGAATCAGGAATTGGGCATTTGGAACACAAAACGTGAACTTAATGACTTGCTTTCAAATAGCTTTAAGTCCTTGTCATATACATAAAGAAGTAGATAGCAAAAACTTAAAAATATCATGTCATAAAACTAACAACCTATAGCAAAGATAACTTTTCCCATGACCAATGAGACTAACCATACCCTGGAGAGTAATACAGTACCTCAATTATATGTAATACAGTACTATATATATATTAAATATAGTATATAGTAATACATACTACATTGTGACATACAGTAATTACAGTATGTCACTATAGCTGTGACATAAAATGTGGCATTTTTACCAAATTCCACATACAAAATGTACCACATGAAAATCTAAAACCTTGGAGGCCTATGCTTGCTCTTCTAATGAGATTTTAGCCAAAATTAAAGGCCATAAGCCATCTTTATATATAAAAAAAAGGGCCTGCCGGTGACTATGTTTTCAGGCTCACACCACCTATTAAATTACAAGAACTGTATGTATAAATATTTAATGTAGCTTAATGGGACCATTTCAAAGCTTTCAAGATGTACTCTCTGGTAAGGAGATGAGAGATACAGTACCACATTATAAATACCTCTACACAGAAGAGAATGAAAGACTGAGATGCAAATAGATTCTCCTACCCTCAAATTCACTAGTTCAACATGACCAATTGATATCAGTATTCTAGCATTAATCTTAACATTTTCCAACTCTGCATGTTCGAAATTCCAATACATCTTTCCATATCGTATATACCGTATATTTTAAACTTCATCTATTCTTCTCACACATACACACAAATACTGTACTGTACATAATCATTGCTCTTATTTCTCTCTTTTATGGTGTGAGAAGGCATCAGTATGGCCCAGAACCCCATCCAGGTACAATCCAGGCATAAAAAAGTTAATATATTGTAGTGAAAGAAGGTTACAGAAATATGTATTACAAAATTAAAATATTTCAATATCATATAGTGTATGCTTTTAAGCACATCTATTTTGTACTATTTTAATTCTTGATTTGTCATGCTTACAGCTCAGTAATATTTTTACATCCATATATAAGGAAAGGCTCTACCACTCTTTCATAATTATTGTAGCCATCAGGCCACAAATCATGTAGCCATTGGGCCACAATTCATGTAGCCATTAGGCCACAAATCATGTAGCCATTGGGCCACAAATCATGTAGCTATCGGGCCACAGTTCATGTAGCCATAAGGCCACAAATCATGTAGCTATTGGGCCACAAATCATGTAGCCATTGGGCCACAAATCATGCACTCACCAGGCCACATCTCTCTCTCAACCGGGTTCATTGTACCAGCCACTTTCCTTCCCCTGACTTGCTTTACTCTCAAATTTGTTACTTAGCTGAATGATTTTTATTAGATTTAAGAATTCTACTATAACATTCTCTTGTTATGCAAGTGTATGTTCTCTAGGTTCACATTTTGCTTTTCCCAACAATAGGCCTAAGGCTGAAGTCAATTTTCACTTTATTTTCAACACAACTGTTTTAAATAAAAATTGCCCTGCTGATTCAAAAAATTACATATATTTGTGTCACACAGTTTCCAAGAACTATACATATTAATGTATTATACTGACCATACAAAACACTCATACTCTAAATATAAATGCATAAGCAATGCTGACAGTTTGTAGAATGATACCTAACTAGTGCTTTAATAGCTGACATAAATGACAAAAAGAACTGTACTGCATAACTCTAATGATTGGTTAGCAGATCAAAAGCTTATGTACACAATATACAGTATTCCTCATGGATATTTTGTATACCAAGTACAGGTATATAATTTTTAGAATTGCCTGCATTTGACAAAAGCTAATGTTTAGCAATACTAAAGTGAAAACTTGTACATCTTATTTTTCACAAAGAGAAAAAAATCTAACATACAAACTGGAATTTCTCAAACACTTTCTACAATGAGGACATTTTAAGTCTCACTTCTGAAATTAGCATTGAAAATTGTAAATACCAATTACAGTTATTGAGGGAAAAGTATGCTTACTGTACTTGGTATGCAGTCTAACATTTCTGAAAAGTCTATTTGTCTATTGAATTGTCTATTTTATGTACAACACTATCATCTGTATAATGCTACCTGTATACATGGTGAATTTACCAGAAACAATCTATACTAAAGCGGACAACAAAAGTAGACCGGACAAAATGAACTGGCACTGTGAGGAAAAGTAACCTATACGGTGATATGACCATGAACCTGCACTGTAACTTGAGAAAACATATACGGTGTTATATAAACGTAAGCTCCCCGAGAGTTCATTTACAATGAGTGAACATGAGAGGTATTTAAGAAGCCCCCCCCAAAAAATAGAGTAGAAACATTGTTGTGGAGCTGGAGTCCGTACCTCATGCTCCTGGTTCTCGGTGTAGGCCAGGTCCAGGCACTCCAATATGTTCACCACTAAGGGCATTAAATCCTTGACTACATCCTCGTCGTATCGCGCTATCATGCGCTCAAACTCCTGATAGATACTCCCTGCTAAGGATTGCACTTTCTCCGACATGACGATATGCGAGTCGTCGTGAGAGTTATACACCGTCTCCCCATCCAGCATATCCATCTTGGATCTCGGATGGTTCAAGACGCTTCACTAAACAAAAAATTATCACTTCTACGACACAACAGCGATCACTCAGCCATATTCGCACCGCATTTTGGTTAGAGTTTGGGTAAGAAGAGACGGCGAGTCACTTGACATTAGCCAGCTGTGTCTCCCACTCCCTCTGTGAGTGACGTAGCAGGGGAACCTAGACTCCAGGTTCCAGTAATGTTCCTGCCTCTCTTCTCTCACTCCTCTCTCATCCCCAACCATAATCTCCTCCCTTAGCCTTCATGCTGTTCTAAATCATAAAAAATATGTCCCTGATTTACTATTAGCGGATTCTAATGGATGGCATAAATGAATTTGGGAATATTTACATCTCTTTAGAAGAGTCATGTTGGCTATTGATTTTCCAGTGTCAGACAATTAGTATCTAGAAGGCTTTTGAGACTGCTCTCCTTTCCTTTTAATTCTCTTTGACGATTTCCTATAATTGTTATCGTAATGGGAATAGCTGATGCCATACTAATTGAATAAAAATATTAAACAAATGTTATTCGAGTAATACTGCACAATAATGCCTAACAAACTTCTTTATATTTTACTTTCACTAGTAAGTAATGTTAATTTAATTAAATATTATCTATATAATATAACATGTATGTAAATTTATAAAAAAAATATGATATATGTTAATATTTTGTGATACTAGTGTTCGAGTTTCTTAAACTGACTTTGGTGTTAATCACATACACTCGAAATAGACGAAATTATCAGATCTATCAAATCTTCTAGCACTAAAATGAAATATAATATAAAATTAAAATATTCAAACAATAATATATATAATAAAATCGGATTGTAAATAAATTATAAATAATCTTATTCTGATATATTCGGACAAAGCAAGCACTCATCTGCAAAAACTTCGTTCACTGACAACTTTGTATACACAAACCTTTTCGTACATACATATGCGCTGGCTTGTGTTTGCTGCTGTTCTCGTCTTCCAAGACAATAATATAAACAATAACGAGGCAATAGAAATTGAAATTGAAATAAGTTTATTGAGGTAAAATACACACAAAGGGATGAGGTAGCTCAAGCTATTCTCACCCCATTCAGTACAACGTGTTAATATATACATAGACACACATCACATATTACCAAACATTCTGAGGCAATAGAAGTTGATAATAAATTAAGAATCTGAATAAATAGATGCATATGATCATATAATTAGCGCATGCCTTCAAATAATATGTAAGTTAGGTTCTTTTAATTTGTTTTTATACAATTTAATGATTAAAAAGGTTTTCCTTGCCTTATCATTTGTATATTATGATAATCACATCAACATATCGACATTAAAATCAGTGTGTATTGTGACGATAATCTCTTTCAAGAGAGATTGAGCCTGCTCTTCCCTTCATCAGTACGTCAATATACAAGATAATATAGAAGATACGTCCAGCAAGTATCGCAAAACGTTTTGCCCAGATAGCAAAACGTATCCAGCACACCAGCACACCTGCTTCAGCCACCGTAACCAGCAAACTGCTCATCCTTTGCCTGCCTGTCGCTGATTGGCTGGTGTCCCGTCGCACCTGCCCTCCGCCCTCCACCACAAGTTGATGTCTGGGCTGCAGTGCGCTAATATTGTCAGAATATCTCAGTGCTCCAAGCAGTTGACATCTCTCGCTGGTAGACTAAGCCTTGGCTTTCGTGTACTAAGGGAGGTGGCAGCTCAAAGCCGGTATTCCAGCACCACTAATACTTTATTTTGCTATCACTGTAACTCACTTGTCTTAACGTAACTTTTCATTTGGCAGTGATTATTCATATTATTTTGTTTGTTGACTTGTCTTTCATATTTTATGTGCTTAACTTTATTCATGTCTTGTTTTTCTAGAGTAATTAAAATTTCATTGTTAAATTTACTTGTGTTTTGTGTGTCTTCCCATTACGTTACCACAGACGAAAGCTCCAGCTTTTCTCTTTTTTTTTCTATTATGTGACGAGGCCCTGCCCCTAGCTTTTGAAACAGCCGAACACCAACGCTTTACCGCCACAGTATATAATGAAGGATAACTTGTACTTAGCGCACAATTTGTACTACTTTATTGGTTTATTAGTTTAGTTAATTTATTATGCACCCCACACCCCTCTTGTGGGCGGTGACGGAAAGGGTTACAGAGGCACACAATGGGCTCAGGGACTGAACCCCACAATTCATTTAGCTAAGTAAGTTACAATCTTGATGAGATAGTTACAAAATTCAATACACATCGTCACATCAACAATGGGCTCGAAACCGACCACAAGTTCAGTTTCTAAATTAAGCAACTGACATATGTGGAGAGCTAGTGACACAATTGATATGTTTGTCCTGCACACCGCCCCCATCCAGTGGGCAGCGGTGGATAGGTTACAATCACTTAGCTATGTAACATACGTTTGTTACGTTGTTAGGTAGATTAGATAGTGTTTAATGAGTTTCATAAGTATTTAGTAGTTTTGATTACAGTAGTCGGTTGTTGGCATTGTCGGAGACGTTCAGACGGAGCTTGGAGCAGAGCAGAGAGCTGAGTGAGGCCGGAGTCGCGGAGCTCTGTGTAGGAGAACGTGTTGGCTCGATGGGGAATCGTGAGTGTCTAAACTCGATGGGGAGAGAGAGCATTGTAGCTTGATGCGGCCCTAGTGCTGTCTGCTCTGTGTCGAACCTGTAGTGTCTTTGGGGTCGATTAGAACTGTACACACCGATTGCTACATTCTTGAGGTTGAAGAGGTGTGGTAAATCCAAAGTATCTGTTCTGGAGTTATCTGAATCACTGTGGAAATTGTACTGTCGGCTATTCGATTGATTGATTGATAAAGATTAAGCCACATACAAGAGGTGGCATGGGCATGAATAGCCCGTAACTGGCTATTCGCATATCGCTTGCTTATAATTGGTGACTACACCTCAGCTTCCTCCAACAGGATGGAAAGAATGTTACCTGTAGTGAATGTCCCTTTACTTTCTAGTGTGTGGTTTGGTCAACATATTTCAGCCACGTTATTGTGACTCCTCGTCTGCAATGTTACCTGTAATTAGGGAAAGGATTTGAGTAGTCATAATTAGTGCTAATTAGTTTGTCATTAAGGTAATGAGAGACTGGAGCGAGTATAAGGTTTACTCGCTACAGTTACTACCTACAGTTATTAAACTGGGGATAATTCGTTAATTTATTTATATACACAAGAGTTCTTACATTCTTATACAGCCACCAGCACGCATAGCGTTTCGGGCAAGTCCTTAATCCTATGGTCTCCGGAATACAACCCCGCCAAATCGTTTAACAACCAGGTACCCATTTTACTGTTGGGTGAACAGAGGCTACAGTTAAGGCTTGGCGCCCGGTAAATCCTCCCCGGCCAGGATACGAACCCAAGACAAAGCGCTCGCTCGCCAGGCGAGTGTCTTGTCAACTACACCACGGGGATGATATGAAGATATCCATGTCACTTACGGTGTCACCGTCAATTGTAATAAGCGGCTGGCGACAAACTGCTAGTTTGCGACTGGCGCCGCTGCTGGGTAGAAGCTGTACAACTGCTAGTTAAAGGCGGCAAACTGCTTGTTTGCGGAGGCACCTCTGCATGCAAGTAGCTAAGCAATAAATAATTGTAATTAATAATTGTAAATATTATTAATACTCATTATAATATAATAAATAAATTTGTCCCATTCCAATGCAGAGTTTTCTTCCACTGTAATAATAATTTTATACTTTTAATACAACAAAAATTATATTATTACAATGCTTCTATTATTTCTAAGGTCCATCATTTCTCAGTGAACCCAGAAATTTATTCCCCTAAATAAATAAACATTATTTTCATTAAGATTGACTTGAAAGCGAGATAAGTTGTGAACGCCAGCGAGCGCACAGGTACAAGAGCGTCCAAAATACTTTAACACAAAAGACATATGTAGAGACAGGCGCATGACTTCTGACTTTGTATTTATTCATTAATATTACATGTTAGGCGTTTACCTTTAATGCATATTCTTATATACAAGTATAACTATCACATAGTAAACGTAATGGTTTATCCAAAATCTGGCCAAAATCTAGTGTTTTGTGCGTTCAGTCATGTTTGTTGGCCTTCAGATGTGTACTGTTAACACTAGCGGGCGTTATTCTTATGAAGCCCGGACTATGTCCATCACATCACTCAACTTTATTTAATAACTATATGCCTGTTAAGTAAAAGACTTTAACTGTTAATAACATTATATTGTGGGTTTCATTATTGACCAATCATATTTATACGAAACATACCATTTTTTTTGTCGGAAAGGATAAAAAAATAATGTGTACGATCCGTCTTATATACGAAGTGACTGATACTATGGGAAAAGCCGGGATGAATTTACTTCGTCTCTGTCGACGGAACTTCAGTGTTATTCCTGTTTCAGTTGGTCGTCGACAGTATGGCACCAGCGGGACTCACAAGACTGTCAGGATCGGTTGCGCCAGCGGTTTCTGGGGTGACACGCCGACAGCGGGTAGTTATCCTGATACTTGTTGGTATAGGGACTTGGACGGCTCCCTTATGTGTGGTACAGTGGGCACTCTTGAAGGGTAAATCCCAAAAGCCGAGCGATGAAATGAACCCCGCCTGTGTAGGGGGGAAACAAATGCGCCTTGGGGTGAATAACCCTGAATTAGCGGTCTCCGTGGCGCAGGGGTAAAACACTCGCATGGGGCTAAGCGAGCGCTTTGGTCTGGGTTCGTATCCTGGCCGGGGAGGATTGACTGGGCTCCAATCCTTAACTATAATCTCTATTCACCCAGTAGTGAATAGGTGCCTGGTTGTTAAACGATTTGGCGGGCATCGTATTCCGGGGGAAAATAGGATTAAGGACCTACTCTTAATGCTATGTGTGCTAGTGGCTGTACAAGAATGTAACAAGTCTTCTATATATGAATAAAGTTATCCTGATGTGTGTGGCTTGTATTAATTGTTTGGTCTAGGGAAGCTCAAATTAATACAGTACTGTATCTTGATTTGATCTAGTAGTTGGATATGGGTAAAGGGCTGAGGACGGAAGCCCATAATTGTGTCGAGAATACCTTCAACTCGAAGGGATACTGGCATTATTCAGAATGACACTGATGCATATTTGAATTATAACTCGCATGTATTCCAGTTCGACATAAGTAACATGTACTGTACTGTACTTTGTTTGAACGGGCTGCATGTCCACTGTCCACCACTTTAACCTAGATCTTGGTGTCATCTGCAAATCTGATGTAGTTTGTAATATTTTCATGTCATTGATCATACTTGATCTAGGGTATACCTCAATAACTTAAAGGCCTTCTGTCCATGACAGTGGAAGTTATAACATTCCAAAAGACTTGATAGCCTCAACCTTTACCTCCACGAACATTACCCAAACACTAATATCAAGCTACACAGATGGGGCTTGCATTCAGAACAATAATGAACCTTGTTACCAGCACAGTGTGAATCCCACATTACCATTTCAAGCAGGGATGACTATTACCCAATCAGCTATTAATATTCACAGTAAAACTGCTGTGCCAAATCCTAATTGTTTCCTTTTGTCAGAGCTGGAAAGCCTATACTATGAGTTATTAAGGTTCCCCTTCCCCATTTGCCAATGACTGACCTTTCCCAAGATGCAAACCACAATAATTCTTAACTCGCGTACCTATTTACTGCATCAAGTGGTAAGGAAACATGCCTGACTGTCTCTGTCCTGCCTAGGAATTGACCCCAGGACCCCTAGGTGTAAGCAAAGACAAAATACTACTGTGCTACAGGACCACTAAAAATTAGGGAATACGCAATTTGTAGTCTAAAATTGGAATCAAAGTAATCACATCCTGCATCAACACCTGTAAAGAGCAAGTCTTCCCCCCCTGCTTACAGTTCTTCCAACTACACCAATCGGAAGAATATGACCTATCTATGAATATGAATATGAATATGAATCTATCTATCTATGAATATGACAATGGGTGCCAGCACATTGAGCAATACAGTACTTAACAATGATACTGTTGATGTAATGTGCATTGCTTTTACCAATACAGTATGATAAAACACAAGTCACACGCCAACTAGTTACCCATAATAACACAGAAGTAGCCCAAAAATCCATTATTCAAAACTTTGCAGTAAAATGGAAAGCATCATGGTCATCGATGTACTGTACTATGAAACCGTAAAATAATCTCAGGAAATTTGGAAAAACTTAATTAACAAAAACGGGCATAGATATACGGTAACAATTACCAGACTAAGACTGGGAAACCTAAAATTAGCAGCACACAGATACAAATGGAGAATAAACAAAAATAATAATTGAATCCACTGAAAGATTCAAAACAATTGAACATTATTTCTTCATTGCTCCAGACATTTTAATTAAAGAATTGTTTCAAACATTTCAGACTCGCTTTCAAACTAGAATTTATCACCCTCGAAGTGCCCTTCAACATTGGACACACACACTGAGGGGCAATAGACCTCTTGCTATATATAAAACAAGTAGTCAGAGCACTGACTAAATGTCTCTGCTCCATCCAAAAATTAGGCCACATCTAACCTACACAGATATGTATATGCAGTTCTTATTACTCGACAACCAACCATAGAAAGTGGAAACCTTGTATTTGGCAGACCCTGTCAACACTACATCCATCTCTCATTGCTCACTCAAGTCTAACTAAAATCCTTAGATAACCATTGACATGCCACCTTGACTTGTCTCCCAGCATCCCACCTGTACTGCAAACTGCATGTAACATAAAGACCAAAAATTTCCAATTTTTGTTAGTAAATTGGTGTGTGTAAAGTACAATATTCCCAGTAGGTCCATCATTCATTTTACTTTACATAACTGGACAGGAAGCCAATTCCAGGGCATGCCCTTAATTTATTTATTTATTTATATATATACAAGAAGGTACATTGGGTTTGTGAGAATACATTGGATAGTACAGTAATTACATTCTTTAAAGCCACTAGTACTTAACAATCAAGAAGTTTAAAGCACGCTAAGTTAAATAATGTAATCCCATATTTCTGTCTCTATCTGAATATAATCTTGCTAACCCTAAACTTGAATTCGGTTGGAAGGGATATGATGACTCTGGAATAACTTGGTAATAATCTTGGTAATTTATAGAGAATACTGATTTTTATTCCCAAATTTGCTGTAAGTATTTTGTTGATATGGGTCCTATAATACAGTGGTGAGCATAGTCTGTTTACAACTGGAAGGTCCTGGGTTCACTTACTGCATAGGATGGAGTTGTTTGAACACAGTGCCTTATTGGCTGCCTCTCTTTCCTCCCCTAACAGGGAATATATAACTAAAGGCAATTGCTGAGGGTCTCATCCTGCAAAAGTTCAGTCATTGGCCTAGAGGGACCTCAATAAGTCTGACTTGCTTCCTGTCCACAACAGTGGGAGACTTGTCTGTGTATTAAATGTGATTTAGTTTTGGTATGATTTTGATCATCCTGCGTTAATTTTTTTGTAGTGATGTGTTTCTGAGGGTGCCGTCTCCATGCTTGGGTGTAGTAGCACAGTTAGACAGCATAAGGGATTTTCAGAGCTGAAGGCTAATATTTGTGTATCTTTTTATTAAAGTGTATTGAATTACTTCTCATGCTATGCATTTTCTTCATTTGCAGTAATAAGATTAAATTGTTTCATGATGACCAGACCACACACTAGAATGTGAAGGGACGACGACGTTTCGGTCCGTCTTGGACCATTCTCAAGTCGATTGTGAGAATGGTCCAGGACGGACCGAAATGTCGTCGTCCCTTCACATTCTAGTGTGTGGTCTGGTCATCATACTTTAGCCACGTTATTGTGACTCATCGCCTGCGTAAATTGTTTCATGAATGCATTTGTCTTATTAAACTATAGGTAAAAATAATAAATTAAATTTTTGTTTTTATTTCAGCACCACAACTCATCCACAATGGGAACCTTGACTTCCTCATGTTTGACTATCTCTCAGAGATCACAATGTCCCTGCTTACTGCTGCTCGTGCAAAGAACCCAGAGTTTGGTTATGCTCCAGATTTTGTCCTCTTTGCGATAGGGCCATATTTAAATGAAATAAAAAGGAGAGGCAAGTCTTTTACTTACTACTATTTTGTAATCTTTTTTGGCCAAAGGTTGTTCCACTAGAGATATTCTTTCAAATGCGTCCATGTTTTTCACACGCATTACTATGTATTTTTAAAATGGTTTACATATTGTAATTTTTCTTCTTCTATAAATAGAGAGATCCTATTACTATACTGTATACAAAAATTTAAAATTGCCCTGGAAACGGTTAATGTAAATGAAAATAGATACATGAACTCTGAAATCATTTTGTTACTGGATGTACTGTACTGTAATTGAATCTTGTGGGCAGTCAAAATGCCATCAGTGGTTGAGTTTCTAATGCTAATTTTCTTTATAGATAATTTCTCCTTTCGTTTTTTTCCTTGTACAAGTTCTTTTATAAGTTTCTGATAAGTTCTTTTTTCACTGTACACAAAAAATACATAAGAACTTGTAAATATTTTCTTGTGCACTTATATTTTTACATGCTCTTTATGTACTACGAAAAATATGTTGAAGTTATCAAGTGTTTTGCAGGCATTAGAGTGCTGAGCAATGCTGGAGGCATCAACCCTGAGGGCTGTGCTGCTGCCTTAAGACAAGCTGCTGGCAAGGCTGGTGTAGATTTAAAGGTTAGATACACTGGGATGTGTGTTATTTGCATGACAGGAGCTGGATGGCAATGATAGAAATTTCAAGGAAAGCAATCCTTATATACCCGGTAGAATCCTGAAAGCTATACAATAATTGTTAATCTAGGCAAATTTTCAGTGGTTTCTTTTGGATAGTACGGTATTGGTATGAAGTTCAGATAGTCTTCAGGAATATATTTATGTAAAATCAGATGTTGCAGGCAGACTTGTTTGAATTGTGCCACCTGATGGCTGCACAACTAGTCGGTTTTGCCCATGATTAAAAGCTCTATATTTAATCAACTTCAGAGGTAAATAATCCCGGGTAATGATCAAAAGTACTTCCACAGGTGGGTATACAGAACTGTACTGTACTGTACTTTGGATGCCAATAACAAAGGATTATGATGAAAGTATTAAGGCTGGTACATTCTTGCAAAGTCATTAATATGTATTTTTTTTTAGGCAATAATCATAATTAATGATATATGTATGTTAATTGTTTTGTTTTAATGAAATGTAATATCTTACTTTTTTAAAACAAGTTTGGAAAAAATGTATTACTGGGTACTTTATCAGTACAGTAGTAATCAAGTGAGGCTTAGTTGCATTTATAAATGTACTATACTATACAGTACTATACTTACATTGAAAATAATACTGGCTGCCATGAGTAACAATGTAGCTCATAGAAGTAGAAATCTTTTCATCATTACAACCCACACGCATACAACAGAGCGTCATACGACAAAGTTCATAGGAGAGAAGGGTCATCTGGAGCATTATTCTCATCCTGTAACTACATATTACACTGGATTTGCACCTCACAAAGCGTAGATATCCTTTGTAATTGCTCATCTTATTCTTTTCTGATGTTTAAAAAAAAAGTTTCTCTTTCTTTGCAACATTAATATTGGCACTGTTGCAACAACTGGTATTGGCACTGTTAGGGGTCTAGCATTTTAAAGTAATTTTAACACTGGAAATATTTGCTACAGGTTCTACACAAATGCTTGTGCTGTATACAGAGAGTCAAGTTCAGAGTACGTAAAACAATGTCCTCCAATATTTATTGTCATTGATAACAAAAGAAAGCCTCCCACTTGCTGATTGTAGTCCTTAACCATGATATGATAATGCTTTATTTATCTGAAATAGATAATGTAAGAATTAATTGCACAGTACTGCTTTGTAATACTGTGTGTCTAAAGTTGGGTTTCATTATATTTTTTAATTAAGAACAAAACAATTTTGTTTGGCTCGTGCTGTAGTTCACAAGTAAAGTAACTTTGTGAATTTTAAACAAAACAAATTTTATTTGTAAATTCGGTACAGTACACCTTTAAAACTATTCGGCACTGTCAATATTGATGATTTTTTTTTATACTTGCAATTTTTTAATTTTACCTTTGGCAGTTGTTAATCTACCATACTTTACCATTAGACATTATGTACCAGGGATATTACTTGTCCGGAGAACTACACTGAGAGAGAATTGTAAATTGGTTGAAAATATTGCCGATTCCAGGGAGGTGGCTAAAAGTGAATACAGTACTGTATAGCCAAAAGTTGTGTAATGGTGATGGTGATGAGAAGCAAATTTTTGAATGTGAAATGGAGGCAAATTTGGGAAGTATTTACTTGAAGGGCTCAACAGTTTAAATACAGTACCTTGGAATTTTTTAATTTATGTAAGTGGAATTTGTGGAAGAAATGTCAAAGTGAGCAAATCTGTGTTTGTAGGAGTATAAAGTATGGAATGACAATTGTGCAAAATGTATTGTTTTGAATGTTGTTGTTTTAGATTCAGCTACTTGGAACAAAAAGTTCCAATTAGCACTGGCTATGGTGAGCCCATAGTGGACTTACCTGGCATAGGAGCGGGGCTGTGGTGAGCCCGTAGTGAACTTAGCTGACACAGGAGCAGTACTGTAACTGTGTATTATTGTTTTGAAGTTGGTAAATTGTAAGATTGGGAAAAGTGTTTTGGGATGTGTAGGTCTTGTTAAAAAATGGATGATAAAGTGGAAATGAAAGTGTGTTTAGTGACTCTTAGAGTAGGGAAAAGAAGGCCAGGAAGTGGGTCGACATGATGCTTATGTCAGTGTCTGTGGGCGGCATTTTCCAGCATTTTCCACCTCCAGCTTTTGTTACCTGGTGCCTTTGTGTATACACGTACAGTAAATATGTTCGGAGGTCTCGGTTATACAGTACATATTCCTGTAACTGTAAATAGAGGTGATAACCACAACTTCCACTGAATTACTTGCTTCCCACCTCCAATGCACATGGTTATGTTCTTGCATCTCTTGGGTTCATTCCTGTTTTCTAATTTCCTTATGTCTTCCTTCCCTTGTTTTATTATTCCTTCTTGGGAAAACTGCCACTTTTTTGTTTTGGGGCATTTGCCACCTTTCTGTTGGGCATTTGGCACCTTTTTGTTGGTTATTAGGGATTGTTTTGGCATTTTGGATGCACAACAAAAAAAGTGCTAAATGACCAAACAAAAAGTCCCAAACATTCAACAAAAAATTCCCAAATGTTCAACAAAATATCCCCCCCCCCCCCAAAAAAAAAAAAAAAAAAAAAAATCCAACATGCCCAATACAAAATTTCAAAATAAAATTAGCAAGGAAAAAATTACAAAAAGCCCAACAAAAAAAGTGCCAAACGCCCAGCAAAGAGAGTCGCAAGTGCCCAGCAAAAGAGTTGAAAACTCCCAGCAATAAAGTCAGAAATGCCAGCAAAAGGTGGCAAATGCCTAGCAAAAAGAGTGGGAAATGCCCAAGAGATCACCATGCCTCAGAGCCTTTCTTGCCTGCCTCTTGCATATCCAGCACTTCTGAACTCCTCCCAGGAGGTTGGTCGATGTCTCCTCTGCCTTGGACCTAAAGTACTGCCAGTCTACATCCACCTCGTGGCTTAGATCTTATCTTACTTGGGCGACGAGCTGTACGAACTGTCCTTATGCCTCGGAGGTTTGTGGTGTCTGGGCAAAGCCTGCTTTTCTGGCTTGGGCAGCTATGTCAAATCAGGGCATTCTTCCATTGGTCACACCTCTTAACACCCAGCCAATTGATCTTTACATCCGGGAAACTCAGTGTCCACACAGCCGGAGTCTACTTGGCAGGAAATATCTTCCCTGGGCCCTGGGTTGACCCACCATCTTTGCTGCTGTTGCCCCAGTCTCTTCCTCCGTCCCAACGAACTGAAAAAAATAAAAAAAATTGGCATCTTGCCTCCCTCAGAGTATAATAAAACGAAACTAGAAGTCTTTTAGGCTTTATTCAGGTTTGAGTATGACTTTATCAGGTGGGAGAGATGAACAAACCATTGGTTCACGTGAACTGTTAATATTGTCCAAATCACCCATAATGATTATGATGACTGTTATACCAATGCTAAAGTCTTTAGTATGCTACAGTATTAATTGTTGTTCAACTACTTGAAAGGTAGCAGTCATCACAGGAGATGACTTGATGCCCAGGAAGGAAGAGTTGATAACATCTGCAGTACCAGATATGTTGAGCGGCCATCCACTTCCACAGACAGTCCATAGCATAAATGCTTACCTTGGGTAATTATTGGTGCCTTATTTATAATTTGATATAAGCACACAACAAAATTATTGAATTTATGAGCTAATTAATATAGTGGGAAGTTAGGTTATAAATATATTATTTGAAGGGAAAATGGATAAATGGTTATGTTTACACATAAAAAAACATCAAAGAATATACTGTACTGTATTTGACACTGGGTACTTTCCCCCTTGGGTAACAGTGACCACATCCCTTTGGAAATAAAATATGCAGAACTTGGCAAGTTATTTAATGAATTTGGTTGGAAAGATTTGTTTAGCAAAGAAATGAGGTGTTTGCCAAATTTTGTGAGATATATGAAGATACAACAAAATGTATACCAAGATAAAGCAATAGAACTAGAAAGCAGGATAGGTTCAAAATAATGTGAAAGAGCCAGAAAACAGAAGACAAAGAAAATTAAATCAATGTAGGCAGAGGCCTAACCCTCAAACTCAACAACAATACAAACATCAAGAATGACTACACGGCAGTAAGAAGAGAAGCAGAAAAACTTTGAGAGGGAGTGCATGATAAGAGGGCATAACTTTTGTTCTGTGTTCAAAGGAGAACTCGACAAATACCTCCAAATGATACCTGATCAATCAGGCTATGATTCATATGTTAAGCTACGGGCAGCCACATTCAACAGTTTGGTTAACCAGAACGCCAACTAAGAGGCTTGGTCAGAAACTGGGCCACGGGAACATTGATTCATGGAACCATCACAAGATAACCACAAGGATGGTGTACAGCTGAACCAGGTCTATTTTATAAACTCATTAAAAGCAACTTGCATGTAAAGGATCCGGAGGTTGAAAATACGAAACACATTCACGGAAAATGAAAATAAAAGTACTCTATGTGAAACACGGGCGCCTGACAGCTGAGTGGACAGTGCTTCGGATTCATAGTCCTGAGGTTCTGCATTCGATCCCCGGTGGAGGCGGAGACAAATGGGCAAAATGTTTCTTTCACCCTGATGCCTCCTGTTACCTAGCAGTAAATAGGTACCTGTGACCTAGACAACTGCTACGGGCTGCTTCCTGGGGATGTGTAACAAAGAGGCCTGGTCGAGGACCGGGCCACGGGGATGTTAAGTCCCGAAATCATCTCAAGATAATCTCAAGATAACACTAAGCGAACAGTTGCAAAGTGTGTTTGTACAAAATGAAGTCTTCAGTGCACCAGACATGGTATTAATTTAAGAGCCTATGATAAAGTACATAGAGGTATTTTGAAACGAAGTGGAAAAAATGCTCATGAGCTAGGTAGAAAAAAGAGAGTGGGCCCCAGATGGAGTTTCACCTTGGGTTCTGAGAGAATGGGCATATGAGCTTGGCACTCCAATTGATTTTTCAATCATCTTTGTGTACAGGACTCTTGGCAGATACTGTACTGTATATGGAAAAAAGCAAATATAGTTCCAATCTGTAAAAATAGTATCAGGGAAGACCCTCTTAATGATAGACTTGTATCGTTGACAAGTGTTGTAGTCAAATCACTTGAAAGATAATTAAAATCAGAAGGGCAGAACACCTAGAGAGAAATTATATACAGACAGTCACGTGCTTTGCAAATGCCATGTGTTCAAAACTACCAGTTTTCCAATCAGGGTCAGTTCGGTTACTCAAGTTCGGGAAGCGCGAGGTTCACATAAAATAGTCTGGGAACCTCATCGGGCAATCGTCCGCCAGGCCTCGTGGGCCAGGTGGCGAGTGGGTAGGTGGTTTTATGGCCTAGTTTGCCCACTGACCATGTCGGGCGCCACTCTAGTGGCTTCTTCCCTGTGACGTCACAGATTCACAGCCCATTGTTTTGATTTGTCACAAGACCAGAGTGTTCATTCCGTCACTTTGTTGGGTATATCGTCAAATAAAATATGGTTTTTGAACAGGAAGATCCTGTGCAACAAATCTATTTAGTTTCTATGATAAAGCCACAGATTTTACAGGAAAGAAATGGTTGGGTTGACTGCATTTATCTAGACCTAAAAAAAAAAAAGGCTTTAGATAGTCCCACATAAGAGGTTCTGGAAATTCTAACATACTGGAGAGGTGACCAAAAGATTTTTGATGTGGATGAAAAATGCACTAACTGGAAGAAAAATAAGGGCAGTAATCAGAGGCAATGTATCGAACTAAAGAAGTGTTACTATTGGATTATCACAGGGTTCAGTTCTAGCACTAATAATGTTCATTGGCAATATACTGTAAATGATCTACCAGAAGGAATACAGAATTATATGAACATGTTTGCAGATAATGCCAAGCTACTAGGGAAGATAAGAAACTTAGATGATGATTATTGCCTGCAAGAAGACCTGGACAAAATAAGTGTATGGAATAACACTAGGCAAATGAAGTTTAATGTGAATAAAAGCCACATTATGGAATGTGAAATAGGGGATAACAGGTTACACATGCCCTACGAATTGTGTGAAAAACTTTTAAAGCGTTCTGATAGAGCGAGATCTAAGAGTGATTCTGGAAAGAAAACTATCACCCGAGTACCATATAAAGAACATTGTGTGAGGAGCCTGTGCTACCCTTTCCACAGTCTTTACAATCAAGGGTTATACAAAGACTTGAATCATGCACACAGTAAATATATTTTAAAATGGCACAGTACATAGTGAAGGACCACTTGTGCACTAGAAAACAGTCTTCATAACTGAGCATCAGTCTCCCGCCTGCTGATCTACATGTTAGTTGGGTTGATTTGGAAGGTGAACAAGCAACTTGAACATTCACACTGCAGTCACTTGGGAGGCTTCATTAAGGATCTGTATCAACATGAATGTACTGCTGGCAGACATTCTGGGCTGGCTTGATCTTCTTTTCAACAACTCTTGTGTCTGTAGTAGCCCTACAAGGACAATTTAAAAATTCCTTGTGACATAAGTGCCTGGAATGTCATTCTGCCTGATTGTATGTATTGTGTGTGACTCATGGGGTATGTACTTGCCTTAGAAAACAGCCAAGTTTAATATCTCAGAATAAATTTGTATATTATTTTTGTAATATCTATTTAGGAACAAGAGTAATCATCATTCACAAATTATGAAACTTTCCTGTCCATAGTGCTGTACTAATCAGCAGTACAGGAACACATTTTGTATACTTACACAATTTATAGCTATGTATTTACTGTACACTACAGTACAGTGTATTTTTGTTCATGCAGTAGACTGCCTTCATTGTGGATGGCAAGAATGCAGTTCATCTTAAATTTTACAGTGCTGGTCCTATAGCACGTGCATTGGATGAAGGGGCCGATGTTGTCATCACGGGAAGATGTTCAGACAGTTCCTTGGCCCTGGCTCCACTTATGCACGAGGTAAGTTGCCACAGTGTTGGGGTTAAAGTCCTAATGTTTTGGAAATGCTAGAGTTAGGTAAACACTAGATACCTTGAGTTAATTTGTGTTTTCTTTTGATAATTACTCAAGGCAAGCAAGCTAACGATCATATGTGGTATTCATATAGACAAAATAAGGAATAATTATGTTATAGAAAATCATGGAGTTTTTAAAGTATTTAACTATACTGTAAATTGATGTGTGGTGTGCTCTATGGGGTTTTGTTGTTAGAATAAATAGATAAAGACGGAGGATTGTATGGAGTTGTGGCAGGTAAAGAAGGCCAAGATGAGAGTGGTTAGATAAGTTTGGTGTGTGGGGTGTATGAAAGAAAACAAAGCACGAGAAGTGATGCACACTACAGGTTTGCAGTGTTTAGATTGCCTCATTTAGGGGGGCTACCTCCTTGAAATATCTTGCTTCAAAAGTAGTGCAGGTACTTTTTTCCACTGTACAAGGCCTATTAGTGAGGAATGCTAGTTTCTAGCAGGTTGCTAATATGCTTTTGGTGTTTTGCTTGCTCTTCGAGTTTTGACGCTCTGGCTGAGGGTGTGTTTGGACAGCGCAAGTGAATACATGTTTCAAATGTTATCAAGTGGCTGTGTGATCGAGGGTTGGTGTATAAGTACTTTTATCACTCACATTCAGTGCTAAGTAGCTCATTACTTTTCTTTTCTTTATAGTTTGGTTGGCAGTCGGGTGATTTTGATCATCTTGCTGCGGGAAGTCTGGCAGGTCACCTGATTGAATGTGGAGCCCAGGTTACTGGGGGAATATACACTGACTGGCAGACAGTTCCAGACTGGCACAACATTGGTGAGGCTGATCATCATTTCTAATTAGTAAAAGTAAACTTGCGTATCCATGTTGATGGATTATACCACTTTAATTGTACAGGTATTGCTGATAGGAAAATAAATTTTTAGGGTAATAAATTTTTTTTTTTTTACTATAATTCTAAATTCTAATCCTTATTTGTTGGACTTTATTTTTGCAGAGGAACTCTCTTGAAAGGTTAGTTGTGACAGAAATACCACATGTTGATTCATATAGAAATGAAGATAAGGGACCTTGAGTTTTTATATTTTAATAATTCATTTAAGTATTTATAAAATTCATTTTATTATCTAATGCTTAGTTGTTGTTTTTGCCCTAGGTTTTCCTATAGCTGAGGCTTCCAACACTGGCAGCATCCTCATCACAAAACCCCCCGGGACTGGTGGTGTAGTTTGTCGCGGAAGTGTTGCCGAGCAGATGCTTTATGAGATTGGTGATCCTCGTGCGTACATACTGCCAGATGTGGTATGCGACTTCACCGGGGTGAAGCTGAGTGAAGTGGAAGACGGGGTCGTTGTTACAGGAGCCAAGGGCAAGCCTGCCACAGATACTTATAAGGTGAATTAATTATTTATTGATCTTGTGTATTAATTCAATAGTAAATTGGTTATATCATGCAATACTAATTTTTAAAATATCAGTACAGTATAATGATAGTCCAAGATTTAATTCGATTTCAGGGATATCATTTAGTGTACAAATGTATACAGTATTTATTGCCTTATTGATATCCCCCCCCCCATTATACCTTTTGCGTATTTCGGTCTTGTCCCCCTTTATTGTTATTCTCGAAAAGGCAAATTAAACTTATCTAATTACTCTTTATAAAGAAGGTTTTAAACTTCTGTGATTAGCTCTGTCATCCTTCTGTTTGTTTACTAAAATAATTTGTGTCCATTCTATAATGTGGATATGGAAACCGAGATGCATACTCTAAATGGGACCTAACCATTTAGGTCCCGATTGCTACATCTTGGATTAAGCCAAGATGTAGGAATCGCTAGATCTTTCTGAATTAGCTGCAGCAGCAGCTTCAAGACTTGGCAAGTTTACCGGTCGGCTGAGCGGACAGCACACTGGACTTGTGATCCTGTGGTCCCGGGTTCGATCCTGGGCGCTGGCGAGAAACAATGGGCAGAGTTTCTTTCACCCTATGCCCCTGTTACCTAGTAGTAAAAATAGGTACCTGGGTGTTAGCCAGCTGTCACGGGCTGCTTCCTGGGGTGGAGGCCTGGTCGAGGACCGGGCCGCGGGGACACTAAAAAGCCCCGAAATCATCTCAAGATAACCTCAAGATACCCACCTTAGGCTTCAGTTTCTTGAGCTTGTTATGACCAGTTATAGGCTTAGCCTAGGTGTTCTTGAACAAGTTGTAGCATACTCTCGAGGTCTGGAGCAGAGCATGGCGAGACACACACAAGTGAGAATAAATTTTATTTGGAGATAATGCCTGATAGAGCCCTTCAGATAAAATGCTATCTACAAATAGTGTTCCATCTTGGTATTTCTCTGCATCATGGTCAACATACGTACTCCTTTTCAACCATGGTTGTTGTTACTTTATAATGCAGTAATGCACATTTTGTAAAGCATAGTTTGCATTAAAATTTCCCAAAATGCTTTGCAAATTTGTGTCTTTATTTAATATACATTTTCTGTACTAATTTTCCACTGCCGTATGTTCTTGTGTATGCTGTATTTATTAAATAATAATAATAACTTATTATTCAGGGGTAATGATGCTAATATAGAAAACTAACTAATGTAAATTCAAATTTGCCTTAATTTTATGAGCAATCTCATTTGGTGGCCAGATTTTTAAAAAGCTAAGCTGGACAATATTGAGCCACACACTAGGGCACTAGCACAGTCTCGGGTGGTCCCCTTGCTTTGTGTTTGCTTCAGTGCATATGTCCACTGCTTCCCACCACCAGCTATTTTTCACAAGCTTTTCTTTCCTCCCATCATCTATCAGACAATTCTGGTTGTCGTCCTTTTGTACGATGGTTTGATGTTGCATAGCTCGGCATTTTTAATAGCTTCATTGGGTGGTGATACTTTGCTGACCCAATATTTACCCTGGGGCTCATGATTTGAATTTCACCACTTACAAGACAATTTTTTTTTTCTTTTGGCAAAGTCTAATAAGTGTCGAGAGAAATTTGATTTAAGGTTCGCAAACTTTTGTGCCACTGTGGGGTGTTAGGTCGTTTGCCCTCATGATGATTACCTCGGGTGGTGGTAGTGCTTGTTGTCTCTACTCCCTAGTCTGCATGCCTATCTCTCTCTCATCCTCCATCACCATCCCCATCCATATCTGTCTACATATGTGAAATCCACCAAGTATTAATCATCTACATTCTACTTTGTTATAGATACTGTTGAGTATCGTGGGTAAGTACCCTTCCTGTTCTATCTAATTTTTCTTGGTTATGTGAAATGTGTTACCAAGGCTTATCTTGGATTAAATGAATATGAAGTTTTGAGTAATTATGAAAAGCAGTTATGCCTTTTTGAGCATAATTATTCTGTTGCGCTTGGTTCTGCCGATCATCTCCTGTTCTCTCCTGTGTGCAGATTTCGTGTTTGCATCTGAGAGAGTGAGACCTGAACCTGGTCGTGCTCTGTCAAGTGAGACAGGTTGAGCCTTGGTGCTACGACAATGAGCAGTTACAAGTCACTCTTGGCAGTCATTTGTAATTTCCAAGGTTGGATTCTGTAGAGATTTCAGTCTCTTTTTGGAGGTATAGTATCTCAAATGGTCATTCTGTACAAGATTGAGTTTTTTCTGCACCTCCAAGTTCCTTGTATGACAGCAGGGAAGCTTGAAAACATCTCTGCAGTGTTGTTCTTGGATGTTGTCCCTTTCTTAGTAATATTGGATATTGATCACAAAACGTTTAAAATGTTTAAAAACGTTTAAAATGATGTTTAAAATATCGGCAACTTGATGATAACCGTTGCATTAATGCAGTGATGTTATATTTTAGGCTAGTGCTACATACATGGATGGCTACAAGATGACAGCTGTGTGCTGTGTTGGTGGGCCTAAGAGTAAGGAGAAAGGAAAGAAGACAGCAGAGGCCATTCTAAAACGATGCAAAAATATTTTTAAAATGTTGAAAATTTCAGACTTCAAGAGAACACACATCCAAGTTTTAGGAGGTGAAGATACGTATGGACCGCATTTTAGGTATGACAATACAGCATTTTCACTATAAATACAGTACTGTGTTACCCATTACAGTACTCATGGGATTTTTGTTTTTTCACTGTGAATGTGAAATGTCTGTCAGAGTATGCCAGGTTTGTATAATCTCCCCCATGGTTGTTCTGTGTATGTGAATGGTCTAGATAAAAATATTAAAAATGGTGTGAAATTAGGATATAAAACAAATAAATGGAACATGATAGTGGTTTATAAAATCTGTTGTATGCACATGATAGTTCTAGCAGGAAATTATGTTGTAGGTTATTAATTAATAATAAGTTGATGTATATGATAGAAAACTACCAAAAGTGAATGTGGACAAAATGAGGTAATGAGAGGAGGAAACTGTGTGTGTGTGAGAAATAGGGTTAAACAGAGAAACTGAGATAGAAATAAGTCAGAAGAAAGGTGGGCAGCACAATGAGTGTATCTGGAGAGTGAGTATTTAACATTTTTTAAATAACTTATTGGAAATGCTCCATACATGTGTTATTGCAATGTTGCAATGCAAACTAAATGTGATACTGCAGTATGTAGTGCTTACCTATGTGTGTTTGTGGAGAAGAAGATATAGCTTTTGAGCTCTGCTTCTGCTTTTATTTCTGGTACGTTTATTCCTCCTGACGTGTCAGTCCTGTACTGTGTCATAAAGCACTTGCCTCTGAAGCTGTGAATGGTGGCTGCTTCCACCACCAAGGGCTCAAGGTCATTCTTCTTATTTACCAATCTTACTACATATGAGAATTTTCTTCAATTTCTATGGCTCATCTGTAGCTCCAACTTACACACCAACTTACACATCTGAGGTTCTTGTACAATCATCATGCAAGATAAGGGGAATAGATGCAGTCTATACTTTTTTTTCTAGGTAAGAAATAACAGCATGAGGGAGAAAAGTTGGAAGATGTTGAATGGATGGAGTTGTCTTTTTTGAGTCTGACCCATCTATTCTCAGCAAAAAATGAAAGTGTTGCATATGGCCATCACACCAGCAAATAACTATGCAACACATTGGCTCAACCAGTTGCCCAAATCATTTATGTAATATGGCTTCCACAAATAAATATATTATTTCATTGCTTTTTCCTCACTTGCCCACAGTTCAGTTGATGGTCCTCGAGAAGGAGTAATATGGATTTCTGTCCACCACTCAGATAAGAAAGCCTTGGAACTTTTCTCCAGAGAAATTGCAGCTGCTGGCACGGGCATGGCTCCTGGATTAACTTCCATTGTAGGTGGTCGACCCAAGCCATCCCCATTGTTACGTCTTCACTCGTTCTTGATAAAGAAAAATGAATGCAAGGTAAAGTGTTATTTTCAGAGCATCTGTGTGCTGGAGAAATATCGGTTAGTCAAGCAGCCACTCTGTTCTCTCATACTCTGCTCTTGCATCATGTTTCCAACTCCTCTGTGTGTCTTTCATAATCTCTCATGTTAATTGAATAACAGTTGTGTAAACCTCAACACTTTCTGTGATAAACCTACCCAGATGTCATTGTTTTGCCTCTTTGCTTGTATTGAGTTGTGAATGTAACATGACAAATGGTAACCACCAAGTAAAGTTGTACAGTGGCTGCTGATGACCTTCTTGGCTCTCCACTACTTTTTGCAATAATGTGAATGATATAGCAAATGGATAAGCTGTGTAATTTTGTATTTAACATTTTCACTATCCCTTTTTTTCGCAAAAGATGGTACCTCCCCACCTCGATGAGCAGGAAATGGGTAATGATAGGAATGAATTAATTTGAGTTTCCTCTATTTCCATTTGTGTAGATAAACATCAGCATGGATGGAAACAAGAGAGCATATTGTGAGTCTTCAGATAGTTGGGTCTCTTCAGCTGCCTACAATTATGCTGACCAGCCTGTTTCTAGTGTGTCTGGCTTGGTTAGTGGATCAAAAAGGTATGCATTTGTGTTTTAATATTAATATTTTAATATTAAGATTTATTTTAACTTGGGAAAACTTCCTAGAAAAAACACGTGTTTGTCTTAAATGTTTGTGGACTAGGATATAGTTCAAGATTGGACGAACTGGTATCAACTGAACTCACAACACTTCCTAAATATAGTTTTACTTGATTAACTTCACAAGACCATGTTACAAGGGCAGAAAGTAAAAAGATTGCTTCGCTAATGTCGACTAATTAGGTATTCATATAAGTCATTCGTAATCATTGTAGATATTAAATAAGAACAATATTTCTTGTGCATTTTGTTACCATGTATCTCTTGAGGCTGAGTGAGGGGCTGACTGTATAAACTGAGCGAGTGGGAAGGGGGAAGGAGCCTGGCATTTGTGTTTTTTAAGGTACCTGCATTTCATAATATTGTATACACGAGATGTTGAGGAATTATGATTTTTTAAATGGAGTGCCATATTACTGTATGTGTACTATTAAGATAAGTCTGGCATGGGGATAGAGGATTCCTTTCTTCACAAATCTGTGAATTACAGTTGGGTTCATTCTTGTCTTGTAATCGGGAACCTTGGGTTCAAATCTGGGACAGAAATTGTTGGTCACATTTCTTATCACTAATGCCTTTGATCACTAATTATGTATTAGTACAATACAAACACTCTCGTTAATAATGTGTGCTGTTTTGATTGTATCCAATGATTGTTTTATTATGTATGAATGTGTATAATTTGTTATATTAATTGATATAAATATGCATCTGTAAAGTTGCCAAATAATATTGTCAAGTATTTAATTTCCCTTAGCTATCGCCTTGAAGATCTGGCTTTCACCCGGAGTGGTGATAAGGGTGACTCTTGTAACATTGGAGTGATTGCTCGTCATCCTGCCCTTTACCCTTATCTGAAGAAGGCTCTTACATCTCAGTCTGTGGCTGATTATTTCAGCCATGTGTTCCCAGCTGATGTCAACCCTGTGGAGAATATAAAAAGGTATAGTTAGTAGTTTTCTCTTAATGTTCAATGTAGCCATGTCTTGCTTGGCGAATAAGATGTATTCCACGGTCTTCAGTTACTTAAAATTCGCTCTGATCTTTTTGTTTGTCCTTTTGATTCGCATGTTAAAAATCGAGATGCATTCTAGCAACTAGTTTTAAAATAAGGAAAGCATTAAATTGTATAATTAGCAATAAAGAAAATATTTACCACGTATGAAGAACCACAGTTCTTGCAAGGGGGGTCTGGCATATTTGATGGGTGGATTGGTGGTTGGCGTGTGCTGCTTGTTCTTGGAAGAATATTCTGATGAATCGTGTGGTTCAGGCATGAGTAAATGGGCACCACATGTGGAAGGTATTGGAGATGGTTTTTGATTATTGATCTTTAGAAAAGTGATGAAGAACACTCGAATACTGTATTTGCTTTTGTGAAATGCATCTTGTTTCTTACAGTGCCACCCTTTGTAGCATGGCATCACCACCTCTGTCACACAAGAATATATATATACTGAGAATGTGGCAGCGAAGTGATTTGTTTTTAACCTAAGTGTAGTTACTCATCCTGTAACTACACCTGGGTAATTACAAATCACTTCGCTGCTACATTCTTGGTTCAACTCGTACAGGGCATGGATGACTAATCATTCTTCACTTTTTCTACTACCATCGGTCAGATGTCGTTGGGAAATTGTTGTTCAGTTTCTTGGTAGCTGCAGAACCATTATCCTCTGCACTTGAAAATTGATTGTTCCTCAACTGAACATAATCCTCAATTGTTTGTTTTTCACAAAGAGACTTAACACTTCCTCCACATCAGTCACATCCATTAAACGAAGTCCATCATCCCTGGCAAATTTGATGATCTTATCAATATAATAAAGTGACATGAATATCTGTGAAGTCGTTCTTGCATTCTTTCCACAATTTTCCCATGCATTCTTTTAAGTATTGTCACTTCCTTTCAAGCCTCAAATATTTTCAAAAAGGCATTATGACATTGAAAAATGGGCCATGTCTCTAGTTACTCTCACATCCTTATCAGTTCTGTGGACAATTATTCTGCATCATTCACTGAACATAGTATGCCTTAAAGGCTTTTTGTTTACATGTGATTTTGACCCAGTCAAATACATTAGTAAGTTAGTGTTTACTCAATCCTTCTTATTGAAGCACCAGGTGATGGGAAGGTGGGATTTGATATAGCATTTATAAGCCTTGATATTTCTGAATAGTTTACAAATGGTGGCTGCAACTTGCAATCACCAGTTGCATTGGCACCCACAGGAAGAGTAAGTTGGTCTTTGGCCACCTTTAAGCCAGGTGCAATCTTTTCTTTGGATAAAAAGGGGCTTGTTGGCATTCTCTACCAAGATAAGTCTCATCCATGTCGATCACTTGGTCAGGTGAGTAACTACCTTCCTCAGTATTGTTAAAAGTACAGTACATGTACTTAATCCATGCATACCTCAGATGCTGCAGTGTTAGCACTTGCTATCTTGCCAATCATCTTGAGGTGATGTAAATTACAGTTCACGTAAGATTTTATTAACCACCCAGTATTACAGTAGATTGATGAATGTTAAGCCATGAAGGCTTGTGTTACAAGAATTTAATTTTGACACTGGCAATATTATTAAGGAGGTTTGCATGATGGCTTAACTTTAGGGTGTACTGTAGAAGTGCAAGCAAAGCATTTGTGCATTAAAACCAATGATATTTTATACTTTGGCATATATAGTATAGTATATAAAGCACTATTATTTATCTTTTTAGATATCTTGGTTCAGGGTTAAACACAATGGTTGCTGCAAGATCTTGGGTTGTTTTTGAATGGTAAAAACTGAAAAAGTATACGGTATACTGTATACTTTATATGCAGTGTATGACTGAATTAATAGTTGGTAGTATTACTTCTGATACAATGCTTGTTAACACTTGACACAGGTATGAGGTTGATGGTATCCATGGTCTCAATTTTATCCTTGAAAATTCCCTTGGCGGTGGTGGTGTGGCATCTCTTCGCTCTGATCCCCAAGGTAAAGCATACGGCCAGATGCTTCTCGACTTCATTGTGAAAGACATGCCAGAAGTTCAAACTCTTAAATGAAGAGGAGTAGAAATGTGTTGACGTGGTACAGCAGCCAGTTGTCGTTCGGGGAGTTTTTCCAGTTCAACATATTTTGGTAACATTTGTTTTGAATAAACATGAAAATTAAATTTGTTAATGGATCCCAACTGAATACTGTTCACTCAAAAGCTGAAAGTTTCAATTAGTTGTGATCATGTTTGTTATAAGTATTTGTTCAGTTACATCACATAGCACAAATTATACTTGAAATTTAGCTGGAAATGAGACCAAAATGAATGAAAATTGAATTGTAATTTGCAAGAGTTGTTTGCATTTCAATTACAAACAATCTTCGGAATTTCTTAATTGAGAGAAATGTCAGATTGGGACATGAATTTTTGCCATGGTAGCTAATTTTTTTTGTTCGTAAAAGCTTTCTAAAATCGAACAGACGTAAATTTGTGAGAGGCTCGTGAATGGAACACTGAATTTCATGAGAATTTTTCACTGTTCCCATACAACAGTACTGTATTTTCTCAACCACAACATCTGCAATTATTACCCTGAGATCCCAGCAGGTCTCGGAATGTGGCGTTGAACTTGTATGGTACAGTATATATTATGCTCTGGGATGTAAGAATCTGTAGATAATTACAAGTAGACATACTTTGCTTAGCATACGATTAATTCTATAAACACAAATTAGATAAGTAAGGATTAGACGGGACTGTTTTACAGTATGATTAATATGAAGTGTTTTATCAGTGCTACCTAGATCATATAGGAAAATTTGTATATGGAAATATTAATGGAAATCTAATGCTTAAAGCTGATTAATATACAGTATAAGCTTCAGTTCTACCAATACATCTCTATATTGGAGGATATAATGTTAAATATTTGTGATGTATCATTTACGTTTTTTAATACTGTATAGTGAGTGGTATGTTCTAAATTTTGAGAAACCATATTAAAGCAGTATGTTATCCACTAGGCATCATGAAAAATATATATTAATAGAAAATTTTTCAATTGGAGATATTTATTTATTGGGGTACAGTATTAAACAAAAATCATTACATAAGTAGGATCCATAAATAAATATAGAAACAGCTCTTTTTGATATTAACTTTTTAGTTGTAGTATTACTGCACTGTACATATTTGCTGGTAATTATTCACAGGAAATCAGTTTGCCGTAATCTTTTGTTGCCAGCGTGTTTAACTTGGCATTGCTCGTTTTTGTATTCTGTGACTGGTTCTGTTGAGGCAGTTTGTAAGGTTCTTGTGTGTAGGGAATTCACAAAGTAAAATCAGCCTCTTCAGAAGGCACAATGCATGATGCCCATGGTTTCTCCTGAGCATCATGCGTTGTGCCTTTTTAAGAGGGTGATCGTCGTAACATCCTATGGCCATTCTTGTAGAATGAGCTTGCACTTTATTATGTTTTTTATTCAGTTGAAAAAGAGTTTAGAATTGTGTGCAATTTAGCTGTGATGGTAAATATGTCGAGCAGTCTTAGTCTGCATTAGTCTGCAGACTAATGTATTACATGACAACATGATTGGCTAATTCCCTAACCTGTCCTCTTATAAAGAACGTCGCTTTTTGCTCGTATGCGTTACATAAGGCCAAAAATTGTTGTACTAGAAAATGGAAGCGGCTCCCAAAAGTGACGTACTGTCCCGTTTTCTGTTTTTTGTTCCCTGGTCGGTTATGATAAGGGCACTTTAAATAGACTGTTTTCTTGACGTTGGGAAACCTTAGGACAACGAGTTGAATTACCACCACAATGAAAATTTGTGGAAAAAATTCAGGTATGAAATAATTTGCTTAGAGTATATGTAATGTATGTGTGATTTTTTTATTTACTGTATATATATGACAGTACAATGGGTTGTAAAAGTATATATTTTGGTGTTTTAGTGATACACATGTATTGGATGTCATTACAGTAAGTCACGATTTGTAGTGTATGCGTGCTTGCCTGTATAATAATAATTTTGGGTAAGATTGCAGAAAGTCAGCACATACAGTACAACAAACTACTTACAGCATAACTGACTTTTATATCTTTTTGTTCAGTATTTTGAAAGGAACATTGTTCTCCATGTGTAATTGGAAGCTCCATGATGATATTCATTTAAAACACACTATAATATTTATAGTTATGAGGAAGATTGTTTCAAATGAATGCTGACCTGTGACTGAAATGCTGAGTCTAATTGGGGCTTCGTATTATATATGATTATTGTATGTGCTAAATAAATCACGGATTATGTTCCTTGGTATATTTTATGAATAAAATAATATTATAAAACGGTTTTTGCATTGTGTGGTGTAATAGTGAATGGTGAGGCTGTCGTGTGTACACACTTTATTGTGAAGCATGGAAATGGCACCAGAATTTTAGATGTTGTATTCATTTTGATTATTGGTAAAAATGAATGGAATATTTGAAAGTGTATTGTATATATTTATTACAGTGTACAGTAACATACTTTGATTTTTTTTTTACCTGGCAAGTATTCATTTATATATATATATATATATATATATATATATATATATATATATATATATATATAATTATAAAACCAGTTGCGTTGCTCCTGGCAGTATGGGTGCGAGTCACTTCTGGGGTGTGAGTTTTCAGTTGCATAAAGTCCTGGGGACCATTCAGGCTTGTTTGCATATATATATATATATATATATATATATATATATATATATATATATATATATATATATATATATATATATATATATATATATATATATATATATATATATAATATATATATATATATATATATATATATATATATAATATATATATATATATATATATATATATATATATATATATATATATATATATATATATATATATATATATATATATATATATATATATATATATATATATATATATATATATATATATATATATATATATATATATATATATATATATATATATATATATATATATATATATATATATATATATATATATATATATATATATATATATATATATATATATATATATATATATATATATATATATATATATATATATATATATATATATATATATATATATATATATATATATATATATATATATATATATATATATATATATATATATATATATATATATATATATATATATATATATATATATATATATATATATATATATATATATATATAATATATATATATATATATATATATATATATATATATATATATATATATATATATATATATATATATATATATATATATATATATATATATATATATATATATATATATATATATATGTGTGTGTGTGTGTGTATATCACGAAAATAAACACGTGATTAAGAATGTGACAATGTCAGACCACGGAGGAAAATGAAACAGGAATTTCCTTAAGTACTTTCGTATATTAAATACATCTTCAAAAGGAATGATTTTACAGATTGAGTGATGGGTATAAATAGGCAGGAGAGAGTGGTGAAGTGAGGTGAGGTACAATACTTGGACAACGCAGACGGCCCATTGGCCCATCAGATGCACCCAATTGGCCCATCCGATGTAGCACAATGGCCCATCTGATACAGCAGACATACAAGCACAATACATAGGTAATTATAACATAAAGAGGTAAATATATACAATGAATTAGTGAGACAAATGTTTTCCAATGATCCTACTTAAATCGCCCTTTAGCTGATCTATTAGAAATGGATCTAAGTTATATAGACCACTGCTAATATTCAAATAATATTATATATATATATATATATATATATATATATATATATATATATATATATATATATATATATATATATATATATATATATATATATATATATTATACTGTATATGTAATATGCATGCATGCGGACAAGCCTGAATGGTCCCCAGGCATACATGCAACTGAAAACTCACACCCCAGAAGTGACTCGCACCCATACTGCCAGGAGCACCATGCAACTGGTGTACAGGGCACCTTATCCACTTGACCATTACGACTGGACAAAAGCTGATGGTAGCCGAGGCTATTTGCCCATTAGCCCGCCGGTACTCTGATGGTAATCTTGATCATAGTATTTTATCAAATCACCTCATTCTTTGGGGCACACGTGAGGACCACAAATGCGAACAAGCCTGAATGGTCCCCAGGTATACATGCAACTGAAAACATGTATATGTGTGTGTGTGTGTGTGTCGTTGTGTCAAAGGCTGTCAGAGGCCTTATGAACGTCTCTCATTCCTATTGATACCGTTTGCTTCTGTTTGTAAATGCTGTCGACCGCGTCGTATGTGATAATAGCATCTTTGGGTCCTGAAGCCAAACTGCTTTTCTGTGTAGAGGTGGTGGTATTCCATGTAGTAGTTTACCATGTTCGATAGTACTGTATTTACTCGTAGTTTCCAGCAGGGAGAGCGGCCGGATATTTATGAAAAAGAGAAAATATGGGATCCACCATTATTATGGAGGATTTGTACCAGCTCAATTTTGAATTGGCCTTTATGGCTTTGTGGGTAGGCGATTCCATGGAATTATTACCCTGTGGATGAAGAAACTTCAGTTTTGTGTCCTACAGTGTGACTCATTGAGGCTGAAGCAATTGCCCCCTTGTATGAGTTACATTGGTCCTTTTATGGTCTGGATCGTCCAGTTTAAGTATTTTAAGGGTCTTGATGTCTAGTTTCTACTGTAGAAGTGTTAGTTCTGAGCCCCCCCCCTCCTCCCCCCACACCTTAACTGGTATGAGAACTGATTAAAGGAAAAGGATGCTCACTTTCTCCATCTGAAGAATCAAAGTACAGTACAGTATTATGTGGGATGCATAGCTCTCCCTCTCACCATCATGAGCTGGCTCTAACTGGCCGGGCTCGGGGAGTAGAACAACTCCTGAAACCCTCTCCAGGTATTCTCCAGCAGCAGATGGCCTTGGATTGGGTATTCCAGTGGGCAGAGGAGCCTGGCTTTCGATTTTCACCCAGGTAGACCCTGGCCACACACCACGCCTATCGTGTTTGTAAGAGTATACCCAGACTCAACCCTATTGCTAAATGGGCAGTGTGTCTTGTGTAGACAAGGTGTGTTTTCTCCCCGGCTCACTTTTGACACTTGCATGTGTTGGTATGTAGATACTCGCATCTAAATAGCTGGATATGAAGCTACTCAAATATAAATAACTGGGTATATAGACTTTCATATAAATAGCTTTATGTAGATATATATATTATATATAATATTTAACACAGGTACAGTTTATAGATGTTAAGGTAAGTACAGTATATTGATACTGGGTTGGGACTGTACTTAGAAGTATTGGGTATGTACTTGTATAGATTATTTGGAGAGTATTTATGATAGTCTGGTAGAATTACTGTTCATAAGATGTATACATATAAATCGTTAAGCATAAATCAGATGGGCAATTTCAACAACACTTCCGTAAAGATTTTGGGAGAGGCGAGTGGAGGGTGTGACCTGGCCGCAGTCCGCTCGCCATCTGAGCCTTCTCTTCACATTCATCTAGCTATATAACCTGTCATTCAGGAGAAACCAAGCTGCGTTCTCGAAGCCGCACATTACTTCATCTCTTGATGTACTTGTATGACCCGCTTGTTCAACTCCCTTCCGCTACACATAAGGAGCATAACTGGCAATCCCCTCACAGTGTTCAAGAGAGAACTGGATAAGCACCTCCAAAGGATACCTGATCAACCAGGCTGTGACTCATATGTCAGGCTGCGAGCAGCCGCGTCCAACAGCCTGGTTGATCAGTCCAGCAACCAGGAGGCCTGGTCGACGACCGGGCCGCGGGGACGCTAAGCCCCGGAAGCACCTCAAGGTAACCTCAAGGTAACCCCAGTAGAAGAGGCTTTTGTGAAGTCTCCTGATGCCTTGAAGCATTTACGACCACGTGATCAGAAAACCAAGACGTATTCTTACAGAAAATTCGAACCCCTTCTACCAGCCAGTTCTTGATCCCCCCCCCCCACCATTCTTGATTGTTCTCAAGACCCCCTATTCCTGAATGTTGTCAAAACAATCAAGAGTCACTGTATTAATTGTTTACCCGGTAAAGAAGGTGGGAAGATGTACAACATGGGAATCATATACACTTTGATCATAGGTACAGGCTTGAGCCCAGGATGGTAGGGATGAGGTGGTGGATGGGTGGGCTGGGGATAGAGGGGGTTGTTGTGGGTCCTTGATAGTGGGGGTGGGATGGTTGTGGTTGGAGCGTGATGTTGATATTGGGATAATCTACTCGCTACAATACAGAGAAACTGGACGAAACTGAACTAGTTAACAGCAACCAAAACATCTGGTTCCATGTTTAGAAGTAAATCAATATGTAAATCCACAAATAATGATGACTGGAATGGTGAGGTGTGTGGGGTTCCATGGTTGGGGAGGAGGATGTCAGAAGCCTCTGGAACGCTACCATGTGTCCAGCGCGGGACTTTCTCCCGCGCGGGGAGTTTTTTTGTTGGCCAGTCCGATTTTACTGAGGGCAACTCTCACTCAAATTATCTCGTGGTGTTTTGAGAGTCACTGTATCTGGCTGTGAACACAATGGTGGTGGTGATAATGTAATATCTTGATTTATATAAAAGGCATTTGAAATGTGATGGTGAAGTATTCGTTGGTATACTTCATGGTATGATAGGTGATTTATGTAATTTATATATCAAATAGGTGAGTGTGTACTCACCTATTTGTGCCTGCAGGATCGAGCTCTAGCTCTTCTCACTCCCTCCATCACACCAACAATTACTCAAAATGTAAAATACTTATCCATACTTATTATTATTATTATTATTGGTAGGAATTGTAGTATACTGCCAATCGTTTACAAATGCATTATATATCTCGGTAGTACAGTTGGGTACCCTCTCGACTCATAATCTGGAATCCAGACTTCGAATCCTGGACGTAACATACAGAGTATGGTTGGTCACGTTTCCCTTTCACCTAATATTTATGTTCACCTAATAATAAATAGTATTGTGGGGTTGCATCCTGGGGAGGGTCAATAGTTCGACCTGGGGGGGGGGGACAGCAATATATCCCTAACGTATATAAATATATATATTTATATATAAATATATATTTATATATAAATATATATATATATATATATATATATATATATATATATATATATATATATATATATATATATATATATATATATATATATATATATATCTAATATATACAGGCTCCTTGTCCCCGACAAAATGAATTAATAGTAATTAGTTTGATGTGTTTCATTTACTTTTGAAATCTGTTTATCTTGTAGAAAATGTGAGTATAACAATATACATTACATTTTGTAACTAGCTCATCAAGATTGTAACTTGCTTAGCTAAATGAGTTGTGGGGTTCCCTGAGCCCATTATGTGCCTCTGTAACCCTTTCCACTACCGCCCACACGATGGGTATGGGGTGCATAATAGCTGAACTAA